TTTTTTTAGCTACTGACTCCAGTGACTGTGTCATCCTTGTGCTTTTAGACCTAACAGCTGCTTTTGACACTGTGGACCATGACATTCTGTTATCTCGGCTGGACCAGTGGGTGGGAATCAAGGGTGTTGCCTTGAATTGGTTCAGGTCCTACCTGTCCAACCGAACTTTCTGTCTTAAGGGGTCAATGTCCTCCTCTTCTCCTCTTTTATGTGGAGTCCCTCAAGGCTCAATTTTAGGCCCGCTTTTGTTTTCTCTGTATCTCCTCCCACTCGGTTCTATTCTCAGAAAGCATGGTATTTCATTTCATTGTTATGCAGATGACAGCCAGATCTATGTCCCTCTCAAAAAGTCAAATTCATATGCAATAGACTCAAGGCTTGTTTATACTTCATGCAAGACGTGTGGCTGCGGCCCAGCGATGACGTAATTGCGTGTGTGTCACCGACAGCATTTAGTGTTTGTACTGGGAAAAGACGTGGGGGATACATTATAGTAATCCCTCCCTCTGCCCTCCCACCGCAGACGTCACGCGCTAGCTTAGCATGTAAATAACTGCTAGTTGCTAAAAATAAAAAATAAAAAAAATTGCTAGTTGCGAGTTTAGCTTGTGCGGGAGATGTGGGAGATAGATGACAAAAAACACTTCTCCTATTTTCAAATGTCCGCTACTCGTTTCGAGGAACTTGCCCACCGGATCTTTTTTTTCTTTTTTCTTTTTTTCTTTTTTGCCCACTGGATCTCCCCTCACCTTCAGCACACACCGACGCAGTAGGACACAGATGGYTGTACCTCTGGACCACCTCGGTGAGTTTCTCTACGAAACTATCCATGTTTAGAAACAAAAACCGGATTCTGGTAGCGAGTAGGGGGGTAACGGTGTGACACAGCACAAAAACACCCACAAACTTTGAACCAATCACACACACCGCATCCTACACGTCTCGGAGTGCTGACTGGGGGCGATGTATTGAACAGCTGTCACTTTTTTTTGCCTTCCACTTGTCAACTTTCCTCATTTTTAAGGACACATCGTCATACAAAAAATGCTGACTTAATTAAGTACAAGGACTGGACTGAAAATAAGTGAAAAATCTGGACTAATTCAAGTAAAGACTTTGAAAGAAATTCAGAAACCCTGAAGAAYTATTGGTTGAAACTACTTGAAAGTCTGGCTCTTTTGTTTTTGCAAAAATATAAAAAAAACATCAAGTAATTGAAAATAGTACAGTGTGTRAGTACCTTTGTGAAACTTTTAATAAGTCTTTTGAGAAGTCAACTTAAAAATATACATTTTGAAGCAAATGAGTCTAATATTAGCCATACCCTTGTAGATTCAGGAAACTCCCCCCAGCTCCACTGCATGTGAGGCTCAGTCCTAAACACAAACTCCGCTGGCTTCACWATCAGCTCTGAGTCACTTTTGGGTGACATGGGCTCGGACTCAATCCTGATGTAAGCATAAAACACATTTCAAATTCATCAGCTCAAATGATCTTGAGGGAAAGCTCCGTTTGCTGTCATGAATTTGTTTGTATTTTTGTAAAAAAACTGAATGGACAGAGCAGGAGGGTCATACACAGTGCAGGGTGACCATTCTCCATCAGAGAAAGGGTAGCTGTCCCATTCAAGGCCGGTGAGGGAGGAAAACTGCCTCTGATCCTTCATCATTGATAGCGAAGATGCTCTGATGACACAAAAAAACAAATTAAACACTCACAATAAACAGCTGACCTGAGTTCAGTTTTTACTCACCGTCCATTGTTTGCACGTTGCTCCTCATCTGAACTGAAATCACACAGCTCCTGTTCTCCTGCACATGTCTGCTCCTCTTTGCGTGGCTCAGCTTTATGCTTCCTCCTGCGTCTCCTCTTCTTCCTGCCGGCTGAACTTGAGCAGAGCTGGATGTTTGCAGGGTCCAGATCTGGACTGAGAGGCTGGCCGGTCTCTACAGAGGCTCCACATCTAGACTCTCTGCTCCTAATCAAAACTTCTTCMGAAGGGATGGGCGATGTCACCAGGTGAGCGGGAATAATTTCCTGTTTGAAAGAGRAAATTTATTAAATAAGAAATTAGTGTACTGATCTCTAACAGAACTGGAGTTTCATCTTCATTTGAAAGTGTAAAAAGCTCACACTGTTCTGCTCAGTCTCCTGCACAAAAAAGGCCTCGCCGTTGTCTCCAAGCTTCATATGCAGATCTACAGGTTCTCCATTAATTTCAATATCAATCTGCAGAATCAAAATTTCACAATGACACGGTGCTTCACTGTCTGGCAAGTTGCACACTTAAGTCTTMTCTGGGTTGTAAAAGAAAACAACCATCACATGACGTAAAAACACAGCTCATTTAGAACTGAATGACAGAAAACAKCTTGCAAAAGATCAAACAAAAAGGCTTTAATTTAAACATGGCCGCCTCGGTGGCATTAGAAAAATTAAGTATTACATGTAGCTTGAAGTTGTAATTATTTACTGACACTTTAAGCTGCCAAAATGGTTGGGAAATTACCTAAATGTTATTCAAATTGCAAACTAAGGAAAAAAATAACTTTTTGTTTCAATTATCATAACTTGTTTTCTTCAGGGAAAAGGATGTTTTGAAACCACACATGACGTATAAAACAACCACACTGTACTTCCTGTTTTGATTACCATGTCACACTTTGTAAAACAGATAAAACTCATCTGTGGTATGACTTGCTTTTGTTTTTGAATAAGATAAGCAGTTACAAGTTGAGAGTAAAAAGCTAAATTGAGTTAAACGCTCTGTATCCTGTTTCAGTCCTCACCGGACTGCATCACGGTGTCTATAAATAGAAAGAAAAATCAATCTGTTCCTGTGAGAGGCAGAGTGGACTGGATATCCACGTGCAGGACAGCAGAAGTTAGTCAAAGTGAAAATTAAATTGAATCGCACATAATAAATTTATCATTTAGTCTATTTACAGACAAAATGAAGCACATTTAGTCAAACTTAGCATTTATAATTTGAATATTGAAACATGTACCACTTTCTCCCTGGAGCGCAGCACTCCCAGTTTACCAAATCGAACATGGAAAGGAGAGCACTGGAAGGTCCCATCGGGCTGTTGGACCACAATCACATCAATGCAGCCGGACAGAGTGGCCTGGTTGATGCCTTTGTACAGCTCCTTCACCGTCACCAGGACCTGGCCCGCCAGATGCCCCACATAGTTCATGGTGCCCACCTGTCAGCAGACACACTCATCATTAAACTCAGCTTCATTGTCCAAAACAAAAACTCATCACCTCTTATTTTAATTATTCATTTATTTTTCTGAATTAAATCATGCCGTGCTTTTTGCGTTTCACTGTCCTCGTACCATCTGCTGTTGTTCAAAATAGTCTGCAAATGAAATGTCCCTAATCACACAGGTTCTGGCCCATTTCCCTTTATGGAGTCCAGAGCTGATCGAAATTAATTCAGGACTTCAACTGCTGCAGCAGAGGAGAGAGGACAGTGTGTGTTCTCATGTCCACACAAGCCAAACAGACTAAACCTGAATTAATAATATTAACAGGGATAAAAATTTTGATTAGTTTAGTTTGATTAGATAGTTTAGTTCATTGGTAAAGTAAATTATTTTGTAAAAAAAAATATTTCACCCAATCTAAAGTGGAGAAAAAAAACAGTAAAACCTAAATTTGTTTGACTAAACAGAGGCAACGCCTTTGAGGAAAAAAAATCCAATGTTGGTACATTTGAAAAATCACATTACTGGGATTACTGATTAATCCACTTACTAAAACAGTGTTACAACAAATCTAGCTTATCCTGATGGTGGCATTAGGAGAAATCACCTTCCCCTTGAGGTTAGCATGTCAATATTTACTTCAGGAGTTTGGTTTGTGCTGGCTTCCTGAATGACCTGTTTAACACCACGTATGGGTCACGTTTAGACAACTCAAATGTTTTTGCTTCCTCTGCAGCAGGATTCACCTTCACTCCCGTTTGTCTCTAATACACCTTAGTTCAGCCACCGGGATGTCAGTAGCTGTTATACAAGTGTGATTATGTTTTCTCACCAACCAGAAGCTGTGATTACTGGGATTATTTTCACTGCGAGATTAAAATGTGCTTCAGAACTCGGTGAGGAATTTGAAAAAATAAATAAATAAAGAATGAATAAAGAAAGCAACTGATTGTGTGCTGTGCTAACGAGTCTGTTTGCAATTAGAAAATTGGGATGTGCAAATGACTGGCATTAACTATGCACCAAAATATTTAAGCAGGCTAAACTCTAGCAGCATATCAAACCTTTTAGGCTAACATAGATGAGTCTAATTCACTTAAAAAGTTTTCTTTATGTGATTGTTATGTGTTGTGGGTATGAGAAGCCAGTATCTTACACACACACACACACACACACACAC